AACACTCTATATACACACAATTGATGTTTGGCTGGACATGAAGGTAATTCAATGTCCCTATCTACAGGGTCACGGAGATGATCTCTCAGCTTGCCAGGGCTTGCTGCTCCTTGACTGCTCTTCTCCATATATTTTCTGCAGCTTGCAGAAGGCACCGAGTAACTGATTCACAACTTATAAAAAGTCTTTGATTTGTTGGTTAAAAGCAACAGTTTACAGAAATTGGCAAGGGAAAATAAACAGACTCAAGGTGTTTCTCATGGCAGAAAGAAAGGACACCACTTCCCTTCTCGAGGTCCAAAGGCTTTTGTCTACCTCATTCACACAAGTTATTCAACTACCTGGGAGTCAATCTCATGGTTGTTGGCAAGCAGAAGGTTTTCATCATTAACAACTGGTCATCAGTACACAGACTAATCAGCTATTTGTTGCTGGTTGAATCTCATTTTGTGCACACTCCCCCCACCGCCAAACATCCCCGGACTGGCCCGGAGTTGAACAAATAAAACTGTAAATACAGCACTTACAATACGTGTTGGCAGCTTGCTTTAATACACTGTAGGAATCCTTTCCTTAATCCTTGGTTTTCAAGACAGTCCTTCTCCTATTTCAGTCCACAATCAAAAATACCAAAAAACAAACAAGGTCTTTACAGGATCTTGTTATATAAAAAAGGGAAAGGAAAATGACAGAATAAGACAAAGGGACAGATTCCAGATACAAGAGCATCTGTCCTGTAAAAAAAACAGTTTTCTCACAAGCAAACCTGTGAGCTTCTGTAATCCTGTACTATCACATTATTCTAAACTTGTGACCAGTAACTGGGACAGAACAGAGTAAAGACATAAAACCCAGGTCTACAATGCCTGTGAATGACGCTTATATTTTCCAGTCTGGCAAACAGAAGTGCAACAATGTAAGCATTATATTTATTTTATTGTATTCAGGTACAGAATAATCATGGAACTTTAACTTGTTGACTGAATAACGGTTTTAAACTGTGTGCTTTGGGAAAATTCATCTAAATGCTATAGTGCGTTTTAAATGCCGAGAACTCCAAACTGTTGTTTATCCTCAATTTTTTTCAATCAAGATCTCCCATGTAAATATGTGCACCCACACAGGAAGTTCCAAGTACAGCAATCCGCTTATTTCTGACACAGCTTTTTTCAAATTAGGCCACAAAGTTATTTCAGTGACATTCCAATCTGCCACACATGAAACAAAGTAGGATAATCAGCTTTCTCTTCATCTATTACCACGTAGTTTCACCCTGCCTTCCCAATTTCATTTTGAGGTTCAATTTTTAAAAATTTGAATGTCAGAAATCAATGAATTTAATGTATCCTAATTTAAATTGTTACATTTAGCACTATTATGTGGTGCATCAGAAAGTGGGTCAGACTACAGAGAGTAGGAAATGCAATTAGCAGTCCTCTCAGCTCAACCATATTCAAAAGGACAACACTGGCAAGAATGACTACTGCCAAGTTTTCAAATGGCACATTGCTGAAAATCATGATAAGCTAACCTACTTCAACAATGTTAATTAAGCTCCTTTACTAAATTCATATAAATCATTTTTTTTGGGACTGTGTTGTAAGCTGTCTACATTACAGTTGTCTCTCTAGGGAATTGAAATGTTTCACATAATCCACTACAGCAGTTTTACTCTGCATCAGTACTCTCCTCAAGTACAATCCACAGCTTTCAGTAAATTGCTATTTATCTTCTTTCACCTCAGTTGACGAGGGATAAATGAAATTATTTAACATAAAACAGAGTGAGAGTGCTAATTTCTTCTACATTTGTACCTATAGATTCAAATCTAGTTTTAACAGCTGTACTTTATATACTTGGCCTGAAGATTAATTTCTTCTTTTAAGTTTTCCTTCCCTCAGGTCAAGTTAGAATTGTAAAAGCTGGTTAAACTTACAAAGTTGGTAGTGGAAGTGCAATGGGAAATATAAACTGGTATATTAAGATAGCTGGATTGGTGACTAGGTGTTCAAAATTTTGAAAACAAACAAAACGTAAACTTCTCTGAAAATTATACACCTGGTATAGCACAATCTTGACGTGATAGTCAAGATGCAGGAATGAATGGTGTTTCCCAGTTTGAGACTTACACAAACAAAGACCTACCTAAAACATATTGACAGCTAAAACAATTTAAGATACAGGAAATCAATCAATAACTGCTGCATAGATTTCCAAAGAAAATTTTGATGACAATTTGCAAAAGTTTTGAATCGTTCTCATCAAGTTACCTGTAATTTCCTACATTAAATTTAGAGCAATTTACATTATAAAAATTGAGCATTTTAAGATGTTTTGCTACGCTAACAATGCTGTATAAATGCAAATTATTACGCAGAAATAAAATTCTGCTCATGATTTCTTAGGAGGTATTTTGACAGACATATTAAAGCCTTTGGAACAGGCCCATAAAACCTGCCCTTTTGGCCATTTTAATGTAAGGGCATCAAGATGAGAAAGGTAACCCAGAGAGAGTCTTGGATACCTACAGCATGTAGAAAGGCCCTTTGGCCCACTGCCGGTCCAAACTGGTCAAAAACAGCTATCTGACTATTCGAAACCTATTTTCCAGCACTTGGTCCATAGCCTTGCATGTTTCAGCATTGCAAGCGCATATCTAAATACTTCTTCAACGTGAGGTTTTCTGCCTCTACTGCCCTTACAGGTAGTGAGTTCCAGATTCCCACCACCCTCTGGGTGAAAAAGGCTTTTCCTCACATCCCCTCTAACCCTCATGCATCTTCCCTTGGAGGGACCAGTAACCAGGGAGCATAGATTTAAGGTAAAACGTTTCTTCCTGTCTACTTTGTCTATGCCCCACACAACTTTGTGCATCTCACTCATGTCCCCCCTCAGTCTCCTTTGCTCCAAGGCAAACATTGCCAGTTTGTTAATCTCTCTTCATAACTAAACACAAATAAAACTCTCCAGCCCAGACAATGTCCTCGTAAATCTCCTCTGCACCCTCTCTGGTACCATCACATCCCTCCTATGATGTGAATTCCAGAACTGTACACAATACTCTAACTGTGGCCTTACTAATGTTTTATACAGTTCCAGCATAAACTCCCTGTGCTTAAATTCCATGCCTCCACTAAAAAAAAAGCAAGTATCCCTTATGCCTTCTTAACTACTTTATTTACCTGTCCTGACACCTTGAAGATGCACTTTCCATGCACACCAAGACTCCTCTGATTGTCACTGCTCCCCAGGATGCTACCGTTCACCATATATTGCCTTGTTTTGTTCTCCTGCCCAATGCGTCACCTCACACCGATCTGAATTGAATTCCATTTGCCACTGATCAGCCCATCTGATCTGCCTGAATATCTTGTAATCTGAGGCTATTCTCTTCACTATTTGTCTGTGAACATCACTGATCAACCTTCTGACATTCAAGCCAAAATCATTTATATAAATCACAAAACAGCAACAGTCCCAAAACTGAACCCTGTGGATCCCTGCTGGACACAGCCTTCCAGTCAGACAAACATTCTTCAAACATCACCCTCCACTTCCTGCCACTCAACCAATTCTGCATCCAATTAGCCAAATTTCCTTGGATTCCCTGGGCTTTTAGGTTTGCTATCAGTCTCCCATGCAGGACCATATCAAAAACCTTGCTAAGTCCAAGTAGTTTGCATCAAAAGCAAAACTCTAATTCACACACCTGGGCACCTCTTCAAAAAATTCAATCAGGTTGGTCAGACATGACCCCAACCCCAACCCCGACCCCGACCCCACCCCTATCCCACAACCTTAACAAAAGCATGCAACTGTTCTTGATTAATCACTAATCACTAACTGCAGATTGATTCATATCCCTCAAAATGTTTCCAATAATTTCCCCACCACTGAGGTTAGACTGATTCACCTGTAGTTTCCTGGTTTATCCCTTGTTCCCTTCTCGAATAATGGTACCACATTGGCTGTCCTCCAGCACTTTTCCTGTGGCCACAGAGGAATTGAAAATTTTTTGCAAGTGCCTCTCCTAGTTCCTTCCTTGCCACACTGTTGAGAACAGCAGCAGTGCAAAACAAATAGCAATCTATCCAACCTGGAAGTTGCTGCGGGGAAATGAATATGCCAAATTAAGTTAATTAAGACTACTATACTCAGTTAATCAAACCATTTATGGAAAGAACAAGATTTACCTGAATACAATTAAGTTCTTATAATGTCAACCTCAAAAAAGAGTAAGGGCTTATAGCACAAGTATCATAAGACAAGATTGTAAACGATTTGAACATTTAAAAAAAAAAATTGTTCAAAACCTTGCTAGGGACATGCACATCATCATTTGTTGTCTATTCCTAATTCCCCTTAAAAAAGATAGTGATCAACAATCTTGCTGAATCATGGCAGTCTGTACTGCACCTGCACACCTACTGCTGCTACAAATTCCATATTCTGCCATGAAACCAAAACATGGTAGCTTAAAAATATCAGAGTTATTATTACTATTTCGTAAAAGGTCAAATCACAGGATGTAGCATTTCAGGCAAGGCCATTGTCTATTGACCATTTAACATTGCCCTTCCTAACTTCAACCCCAAGTAGCTTGCTAGGTCAGTTCTGAAGAGCAACCACACTGCTGTGGGTCTGGAATCAAATATGGGCCAGACAGGACATGAGAAGCAGATATTTCGCCCACAAAAGGGCACTAGCAAACCAGATAGGATTTTACAACAATCTACACACAAAGCATATTTTTCTTATAAACACCTAAAAATGCCTTCCTAGAAGTTTCCAACAGATTTTAATAAAATTGGGACACCTTGTTACATTTAAAGTTGGAACAAAGGCCAAGAACAATTAATAAATAATGATTTATAGCAAGATTGTTTTGTTTTGTTTTAAAGAATCCAGAAAATCTGCACGATCTTCCACATCTTAGTGTGATACTCGGCAACATAAGCCATCTTGATATACATAAGTAACATTTTAAACAGTTTACTTACAGAACTGGTGTGAGGTCCCTGCAAAATTGGACTGTCCCGGGCAAGTGCCACTATCACATTGCTCTTTTCTCCAGCCCAGTGAACAACCATTTGATTGTGCGAATCATTGAGGTTCACCTACAATAAAATCATGATGTACCGTTAATAGTCAGTCACTAAAAATACTACAATTAATAATTCACACAATAAAGCAAATAGAACATCATCATTATTTATTGCAAGATAAACTGAACAAAAATAATACCAGGCTATGCTTCAGTTGCACACAGGTCAGGCCATGAATGAAGTAACATGCACAATAAAAGGTCTCCTTACTTAAAAATGGATGCAAATGTGTCAGAAGCAGTTCAGAAAAGGTTTCTGGACCAATACCTGGAATAAGCAGATTATCTAATCAGGAAAGCACAGACAGGCTCAGCTAAAATCTGCTGAGAGGAGTTGAGAAGAGATGATGTCATTGAAGTCTACAAGATTCTAAGGGGTCTTGACAAGGGAATGTTATACATAGGTTTCCTCTTCAATGAGAATCTAGAACAAGGGGGTCACTGCTTCAAAATAAAATGAAGTTGCCCATTTAAAGACAGATAGGAACATTTTCTCCCCTTCAGGGAGTCTCAAATTTTTGAAACATTTTTGCTCAAAAAAGGTACCTGAAGCAAGTTCTTGAATATTTTGAAAGGAAACAATAGATAGAGTTTTGATAAGCAACAGGGTAAAAACACAGGAAAATGGAGAAATCAGATAAGGTATTATTGACTAATGAAGTAGGTTCAACAGACTAAGCAATCTACTTATGCTCCTATTACGTACAAATCTAATGAGGATCTTAAACAAAAAATTAAGCAGTTGCATTAAAAGTCCCCTTACAAATATTATCAGATGTCAGCACCAGTTTGCAAACATAAAACAGGCTCAATGAATAGCTTACTTTATAATTCACCAAACCTATTTTCACTACAGAATTTGATGCTACATTTGCCATTTCAAATACTAAATTTATTTTATATTTCAGCATTAAAAACAGTCCCACGCTACCTTCGAAAGACAAAAAAAAAGTCTGTGGAAGACAACGTCTGTGCAACAAAGTGACTATGGCAGTGAATTTCATGGCATTTTCTGCCCAGAATTCTAACTAGCAAACTTGCAATCTTACATTATTGCAAATGCCTGATTAATTTAACTGTTAACCAAAATGCATCTTATTGTTATGCTCACAGAAATGTGAAAATCTATTAAAATGCACAGATTGTTCCACCACCTGTCTTTTACTATTCACCAGAGAAACAATTTTGAGATGGCTGAAGGTTATGAAGAGCACTCAATGCAAGTTTATTTTTGTCCTGATTATATGGTGATACAAAGCATCAAATTTGGATCTCTATAATAACCTGGTTACAGAGAGGGATATTCAGTGTGATGTAGGTGAGATTTTCCTCGCTCAAATTTTTAAACTGCGAGGAGGAGAAGGACTAACAAAATTCAAGACGGCACAGAATTTGAAAAGCCTTGACACAGGGCTGAAGACATTAAACAGGTACTATGATGAATGCAAGCACTGAGTGAATCTAGAAAAAAAAAGGATTACAGGTTTTTCCTGAAGAGCACGCATTTGGTAGCACTCTCATTTTGCAGTCAGAAGGTCATGAATTCAACCCCACCATGCACTTGAGCACAATATGTTAGGCTGCTATTTCAGCAAAGGGAGGGGTGGTTTGCAATGATAGCCCCGTATCAAAACTCGAGCATTACACCATGCCACGTTTTCTGTATTATTTCTGGAACATCTTCCCTGCAAAACAGAGATGGAGAATTCTGAAAAGCTACCTAGGGTCTCCAAAAAGGCCCCTCCCAAGATTATAAGCAAACTACTACATCTACTTGTTTCATGCTTTGGAATGTTGAAACAACTTTTCAGCTTGAAACCTGGAAACAAATGCCCATTGAAAATGTTGTTTGTCTTCCCATGTATTCCCACTCAGAAATAATCTTTAAATGCTCGACAGACATGTTAAAATGCTTTATCAATAGAAGACGATGTATTCACATTTGAAAATTCTCTATTTGAAGCTTGCACAAGATTTGGGTAAAAATTAGAAATAAAAGTTCAGATTTCTTCAAAGATCCCTCCAAAAATAGAATATTTTTTCAGTGTTGCATTCTTCCCTATGAGATTTTCCTGCGGCTTGATTCCTTCCAACAGTCATGTATTAAAATGTTTTAGCTAATCCAGAGATCTTTCATATTTTATTCTTGCTACTCTCTATCTACTTCCTTCCTCCAGCAACCCACACCACAATACGCATCAAAACATGTTAAGCATAGCCAATTTTTTAGATTTGTGTATGAAAATACTTTGATTTCTCCAAGTTAAATTGGCAAACAGGAACCTAGTCGTCATGATGACGGAGGACGTGAGAATCGTTAACTGAAGCTGGCAGGAAAGCCTACTGAAGCTGCTCCAACACTTTTAGATTAACACCCACTCTCTGCAGTGGGTGAATAACAGGATTACATTTTTTGTTTCATTCCTTCACAGGTTGTGGGCATCGCTGATTGGGCCAGCATTTAATGTCCATCCTTAATTAGCCAGAAGGGGTTCAAGTGTCAACCATACATTGCTTTGGGTCTGGAATCACATATATACATCAGGTAAAGATGACAGATCTCCTTCCCTAACGGACATTAATCAACTAGATAGGCTCTTATAACAAAATTGGCAGGGGTTACATGGTCACCATTAGGCAAGCTTTTCTTTATTCTGGATTTTCATTAAACTTAAACTTCACCATCTGCCTCATTGTTGGATTTGAACCCATGACTCCAGAGCATTACCCTAGGGCTCTGGATTACAAGTCCAATATCATTACCACTACACCACCGCCTCCCCATCTGCTGCTCAAAATTACATAATGTCAGAATTGGAAAAAAAAGAATTATGTGAGAACATAAATAAGCTGTGCACAGCTTACAGCAAAGTATACAAAATCTTCTGTAGCACAATTTAGGCTGCAATTTCATGTTGCTGTACAATAATTAGAAAATTTAAACATCTTGAAAGGTTAATTCTCAGAACAGCCAGCATCTCTGCTAAACTCTGTCAAATCAGATCCCTAGTAGAAGGCTGTTTATCTAATAGGATTAGGTTCAACTGTGGTACATCTAAATAGCACAATAACCCAATAACACCTCAGGTTAAAAAAATGGTAAAAGCCTTAGGTATCGCAAACTATTTTACAGTCAATAAAATAATTCACTTTTTGGAGGAATAAAGATTGGCTAGTACCAGACCATTAATCACTTTTGCAAAGTGGCAGCCAATTAGTGCACAGCAAGAACCCACTAATATCAACATGATCATTTTTAAAGATTCTGCCTTAATGACTTCAGCTAAGGAATAAATGCTGATAGGACATGGGGAAATGCTCCTTTGGAAAATGCCTCCCACATTTCGTGAACCAATACTTTAATTTTTTTTTAAATCACCTGCTGTACAATAGTTGCCTAACAACATAAACAAAGTGTGAATGAGATTATTGATAATTCAGGTACGGCCACTGCCTTACCATTAGGAGGCGCATCCAATGGAATTCGGTTTCAAAAAGGTGATGAAAACTCACTAATGGCTGTTCGGTACAATCAGCATGCCAATGAAATGAACGCTCCCAATACTATGCTATTGGGATTTTTCCCCCCCATGAAGTAAAGTTGGTTTCCAGTTCAAGCTATCTCACTAAAAAGAAAATTAAAAGGAAGATAGTCTGACTGCTTCTCAAGGATATGGCAGCTGCTTAGTTTCAGCGATCCTTCTTCGGAAAGAACTCTTGGTTTATATTGTAATGACACAAACCACAGACCGAATTGGCCTCTTGAGGAATACTATTTTCATCAATTTATCATGGTTAAGTGCTGAAGGTTATCTGTACTGAAAGCCAATACTCTCAGTGGCGTTTTCAACAACTGAAAAAAAAGGATACTTGAAGACAGAATCTCTCCAAAGTGTCAGTCATGCACTCAGTTGGACAGCTTTTCTCCCAAATGTTTTACTCCAAGACTTGAACATAACTTATTTTAGATTGGGATGTTGTATTTTGGAATTTTCAAAGAAACCCTAAACAAGAATGGTGCTAGCAAATCTGGATTCTTCATTAGGGTAAAACACAAAAAAACTGTTAGACTAAAACATGACAAGGTATTTTGGGAAGGATGACCAATTCAAAAGCTTATTACTAGAACTCCTTCAGACTATTTCAATTAACCTTTAAAACTATACAATTTCCAGACCTAAACAATTTATTAAAAGATAGCTGTCTGACTAAAATGAAGGAAACGAGAAAGAAAGTCTGTCTCAGATGTTATCAAACAGTTTTCCGTTCAGTGTCTGAAGCAAAAGCAATCAAGCAGAAGTTTGACACTGAAGGATATAAAAGCAGCCAATTTACAAGATTAAACTGACAGAACAGCAAGGTGTTCAACAGTGAATTAATCTTTCCAAAAGAAAAATAATTTGTTCAGAGTCTTAAGTTGCATGCATCCCTCTCTGTAAACTGGTTGTGTTTTACTGTTGGAGCATTTTAAAGCCTCAGTTAATCTCCATCTCGATTACTCTGAAGAGCATCAGCTTAGAAATATGCTCGTAAAAATTCTGATGAGAAGTCATCTATACCCATACTTCTTTCTTCACAGATACAGCCTGACCTGCTGAGTAATTCCAGCATTTTGTGTTTCAGATTTACAACATCTGTATTATTTTATTTTCTCATGAGGTATGAAACTTGTCTAAATTGTTTAGAAGTGCTAATATTGCTAGATGGTAAAACAGAAATAGCAGTCAGCAGGTTAGTTTATTTGTATGGTTATTCACCTCTCCAGGAACAGACTTTGAAGGTGTAGGGAATGGATATTGTTCATTAAATTTAAATAAATGATTCATTAAAATTCGTTCACAGAATGTGGGCATCACTGGCAAGGCCAGCATTTATTGCTCAAAGGGTAGTTGAGAGTCAACCACATTTGCAGTGGGTCTGGAGTCACATGTAGGCCAGACCAGGTGAGGATGGCAGATTTCCCTCCCTAAAAAAGGATAGCAGTGAGCCAGTTGGGTTTTTCTGACAATCGGC